ATAACCCGAAAAGGCGGTGCTGGTCGAGGAGAATTCTTTATTGCAGAGTACAGATTGAAGGTCACTAATTTTGCATGAATAACACGAAAAGCTCGTCAATGTTCAATGTTCAATGTTCTTCAATTAGAGGCAGAGGGTAATTTCCCGTATGAGCCTCATCACCACAGACTCGAAGATCTCATTCATGATAGATCTGCATACCACATTGTTCGCAGGACGCTGTCGAGCTTCCTCTTGAACATCTTATCATTGACCTCTTCCACCACGTCAGCTGGAAGGGAGTTCCAAAGATTGGTTACCCTTCGCGATAGCCGGAACCGAAGAGGTAATCCTACGGACGAAAGCTTCAACAGCGTAAGTCCATGTCCACGAGTCCTGGTCTGCTCGCGCAGAGGGAAATACTCCATCAACTCTGGACCCATGTCACCGCGAAGAATACGTCGCACACAGATGATATCACCCCGTACTCGACGATAGGACTCCGGAAACAATCCAGTCGCATGCAATCGTTCGGTGTAGCAACACCCGCGTAACCCGGCAATCATACGGGTGGCAGCTCGTTGGACTCTCTCCAGCTTCACCATTTCAGCAGTTGTATAGGGATATGCCGCGGCGCTCGCGAACTCCAAGCGAGGTCTGGTGTGGGAGGTGTACAATGCCTTAAAACCGTCGTATGAGAGTTTGGAAAACGAACGACGAATGGCTCCAAGGATTTTCCAACTCAAGGCGCAAGCGTTGTCAGTCTGCTCCTTGGTTTTCAGCGACCTGGAAACCAGCACTCCGAGATCCCGTTCGCATGCGGACGCCAGTAAGGGAGTGTCCATAAGGTGGTACACTCTTGGACTGGGCTGCCGGCCAATGGACATGTAATGACATTTTGTAGGATTGATGGGTAAATCCCACACTCGCGACCAGTGCATCAAAGAGTCCAGGTCTCTCTGCAGGGTGTTCACGTCACTCTCTGACTGGATGGGTCTCCAAATCTTCAGATCATCCGCGTACAATAGACATTCCGATTCCAGGCAGTCTGGCAGGTCGTTGATGAAAAGCAGAAATAGTATTGGCCCCAGTACTGATCCTTGCGGAACGCCACTAGAGACCGTTAACCATGGTGATCGTGCCCTTGACGCTTTCACCGAGAATAGTCTGTCCCTCAGAAAGTCATCTATCCATGAGAGCAGCGGGCCCTGGATGCCAGACAAGCACACTTTCATCAGTAACTTCGAGTGAGACACCGTATCAACACGAATGAAGTTAGCAAATTCAAAATCAAATTTTTATTATGGGAAAAATCTTACAAAAGCTTTTCTTATCAAATCCCATAGGGTGTTTACACTTTGGTTTGGAACACGATTCACAACATCACAGTTATTCCATGTACGTAAACGCGTAACGGCATGGTTTTGACAAGCACAGAATAATATATTATGTAGTTGAGTGTTGAAACATAATGTTTGCCAGAGCATCATCAAGCTGACGCTTGAAAGATGTTAATGTTGGCGCAGAGACCACGTGAGGTGGTAGAGAGTTCCATTTGCTGTAAACTCTGACTGCAAACGAATGGCGTCTGCAGTCGAGACAGCTCTTTTGGAGTGCCAACTTCAGTGGATGCCCTCTGGGGTGAACACTATTAGATAAAAATAAAAGGGATCTACATGGATGGTTGGGCTGTTGGAAAACCCAATACAGTAAGATCATATCGCCTCTGACTGGACGATATTAAGACGAGTATAGCCCCAAGAGCTGTATTCTTTCGCCATAGTCATTGGAATGTAGACCTTTAACCATCTTGGTAGCCATTCTCTGCCGATGTTCAAGTGCCTCCCGATCTCGCTGCATCCGTGGGTTCCAGGCCTGAATTGGGTACTCGGTGTATGGACGGATATATGTGGCTAACAGACGTGGAAACAAAGCCGGCTCAGACGATCTAAAAACACGTTTGAACAGTCCAACCTGTTTTACCAATATGGATGATGCCGTGGAACAGTTTGTGGAGCAACTGAAGTCTGCGCGGACGACTATTCCTAGATCCTTCTCGGATGCCGTTTGAGGCAGAGTTTCGTGTCCGAGAGTCTAGGAATAACGACCATTGTAACGTAGTGATAAAACTTTACATTTGGCAACGTTGAATTTCGTATCATTGGAGACAGACCATTTGTGTGCTTCGTCAAAGGCGTTCTGGAGATCAAATGAACCTTCAGGTTTTGTTATTGTCCTCCGTCTTTTGGCATCGTCCGGAAACAACAGAGTTTTTGGTCCGAGGATGTCTGGAAGATCATTTATAAAGGCAAGGAAAAAACGTGGGCCTAGTACAGACCCCTGTGGAAGCCCACGATTGACATCTATCGGATCAGAAAGCGAATCGGAAACACCAACTGAACATGGTACGTAGGCGAAGAAACTCCTCGATCCAGCCAAATACGAGTTATACATCTTCCGTCTCAGTATTTGAAGATTTACCCTATCAAATACTTTAGAGAAGTCCAGGTAAATAACATCTACCCCTTAGCCTTGGTCTACAGCATAAGTCCAATCGTCCCGAGACACAGTCAAATTAGTTGCACATGAATGATTTTTTCGAAACCCGTGCTAGGCTGGGGATAGTAAGTCATTTTTCTCCAGATGATATATTACCGAATCTGCAACAATAGATTCCATGACTTTGGACAACACTGGAAGCAGAGTGACGGGTCGCTAGTTGTCTGGGTCACTACGGAATCCGCCGTTGTAAATTGGTGAAATGACACTGTTTTTCCACACCTGAGGAAGCACGGTATCTTCAAACAGTTTTCGGTATAGCTCACTTAAAGGATCGGCTATGTGACTTGCCAGAGTGATAACGGCTTGTGGATGAATGTTACCTAAACCCGGTGATGAGTTCTTCTTCAAAGCCAGGAGCTTTGCGTTTATCCTTTCGGGAGAAAAGATAATGTTTGTAAGTAATCGGTAAGGAATATGTTCCAGCAAACGAGGAAGTACGAACCCAGTGTTACTAGGGGTATTGACCACTTGAGAGTACTGTAGTCCAAGCATTTCTGCAGCCTCTTTGGTTGTCGCTGAAACATGTCCTGCTGAGTTTAGTATCGGAACGCCGTGTTTGACTTTCCGGGAAGCGTTTACATAGTTATATTGTAACTTAGGCTTTGTGATAAACTTCCTTGCCAGCATATCATGATGATTGTGCTTGTCTTCCCGCACCAAAATTTGTACAGTGATTTCGAAGGAGCCTGTAAGCTTCCCAACTGCTGGGGCATGGAGAGCGTTTGAATTCCCTCCAGTGAAAATCCCTTTGCAGTATCTATTTCCTAGTTTGACTGCGAATTGCTGATTTTCGGACAGTCGGTTGGCATCGACGCTTGACGGTTGTAACAGCAGCCACCAATGTTGTGATGCTGTTAGTAAATTTTCTCTAGGATTCCAGGGGATTGCAGCCTATATCAGGGGAGATCCACTGGATTCCATGAGCCAGGTTGTGTAGTCCTGCATAATCAGTTGCGCTGCGAAAGCGATCCGAAGAAGCTGTCATCACTGATGCATAGAGAACGTATTCGAACAATAATACAGCGTGATCACTGCGCCCCAACGGAGTTGCGATTGCAATTGATTCGACCATCAATTCTTCACTTGTCGTTACTAGATCCAAAACTGACGAACTTGGGTTGGTTCCAAACCTGGTGGGTTCCTTCACATGATTGTACAACGGATGTGACTGGATGAACTGCTTCAACTGTCGTTCAAATGACGTACACGATGTAGTCACGCTGCTCAGCTTTGGACAGTTGAAGTCACCCATAACAAGAACGTGGGTGGAATTCAATGACAGGAAGTAAGACGTTGTTTGCAACAAAGTCTCATTTGATGAATCTGCTGACGAAGGAGGGCTATAAACTACATCGATCAGCCCGATATCATGTTGTGTTATCTTCAATTTACACCATAACGTATCGGAAGCAGCGAACGGGCACTCAATTTCCTCGCATTGCAAGCTGTTATCATAGTAGAGCAACACACCCCCACTTCGCGTTGGACAATCACGCCTCAATAGCTCCATGCCTGGTAATCACAGCTCGGAGTCCAAAATGTCAGTCGTCAACCAGGCTTCGGTTACGGCAATGAGATCCCATCGACCGGTGTGACAACGTAGTTCTGTTTCTGGAAACTTACTGAGAAAACCCTGAGCATTGGTATAGAAACAGTTCAGACGTTTCGACTGGTGGACAGTTCCTCACACTCAATCTATTTCTTCCAATTTGAGTTGCAATAAAGTACACTTAGATATAAAAGCGGACAGTTCTCTACGAATCAAACTGTTTGACAGATGCACTATTTGCGGCGATTCTTCTTCAGGTTAATTGAATACAATTCACATTGCAAAGTCTAGTACGGATAGAAAACATGACAAAATGGTGAGGAAATAATCAGTATTCCGGTTCTATGACCAGACGTAGCGCACAGTTTGGCCGTTGCACATACGCAGGGGTGTGACTATTGCATGTATGGTGTTAGCTACGAAGGATCGAGTGTTCTTGCGAATCGCTTTTGTGTGGATATAGGGGAGGGTTATGTAGGCAGATTTCCATCGCTTCCTAATCCTCTCAGATCGATGGCTGTAATCTTAGTATGGGAGTCTGGACGCTTTAACCATATTAACCACTAATTTTGACTGAAATAGGTGTCCAACGCGCAAAAGGTTGATAGATTTAATCAACTCACTAGTCTGCAGGTTCGGATGGTGCTCCATGACTGGTCTAGATAGATAACTGCTTTCGCGACCAATATACCTTTTACCACAGGAATAGGTGAATAATTACACATAGAAAGGGACTTCCGAAGCAGACAGTTCATCTTCGAGGTGAAAGTAAAAGAGCGGTTTGGAGATGCTGTTCGCTGCGAGAAATGCTTTTCTACGGTTGTACCCGCACCAGTCACCATCTTGACAGTTTTGTTGCCGTCAAAGAGTAGCGTTATGCAAATAAATGTGTTTCCAAGGATATTCATATTATTTCGCAACCGGTAACGCCTCAAATGTTGTCGAAGAATCAGTCTGCATATCCAGTATGATGGAGAACCTCTCTAAAAGTCCCAGTCGGCTTGCAACGGTTTTATATGTACATATGCTCCGTGCCCTGTTAGTGAGACACTGAATGAAGTATGTTATCCTTTCCATAGACACAGCTTTTAAAATGAATCTACCGATTATTCCACGATGGATTGCTGTGAAAGATGAGCTGAATGGTTCCGTCTGATTGACGACTGAGAACAAAGTCCAAAACTGGGAGCTACTCATTATCTTCATAAGAACACTCGGTCTTCCACGACCAACACCACACACCACACAGCTATACCCTCACTCGACCCTTATGAACTGAACCAGTACGTATGCGTGATGACCCAACTGTGAGAAACTACCAGTCATGGAATTGCAATCATATTTCTTTTTCCCCTTATTTTGTCATGATTTCTCAACTCTCTAGTAAACCTTTTGATATAACTTGTCATGAACTGGAAACAAATCACTGAAAACGAACTTGTTCGCTATCGTGTTTTTTCTTATGACTGAAATATATAATTCGAAGACAGATGCTCCACATTTTCCGAGGTAACAGCCGGTTGTATGGTAAAATGACATGACCAGCACATGCATATCAACAAAAGGTGGAAAAATGGTGGACTGAACTGCAGGTCAAATTTCTATCAGCATTGTTGGTACAGACTAGTCACGATGTTGTACAAAATGCATTTTCTAGTGTTCGAGATGCTTTGCGCAACCCTGAGCAGTATCAAGGTAATTAGGAATATCGTTACAATCCTCAAAATCAGTGTAACATAGTGTACAAATGATGACCATGTTTTGCGTGAGTTTCCTCTAGTAGTTTTGATCATGTGTTGCGGATGTAAGCTGCCATCTATGTCATGCTTT